TCAAGGCGAAGAAAAACGGAAATTGAGGACAAAACAGCAAGGAAAATGGGAAGGGTTGTGTTGGGGAAGTTAGATCACCAGAACCCTATTGGAAAGGTCTTAATTTCGTAATTTTATTCTGAGATTTTGAATTTCCGTGTTTTTGCACCAGTTGACCTACAGATTACGTTTCCCCCTAGTAAAATCCTTGACTGTCATTGGTTGATGGATCATTTTAGTATGCTAATTTGTGGCTCTTCCAAGGACGTTTCTATTATTGTATAAATAAGTTTGATTTGTGTGTTTAGCTACCTCGAATTTTCTGGGTGCCGATAGAATACATTCTCTACTCCTTATCAAGACTTCTTGGTCTAGTTAGCAGTGCAGGGGAAAATAGTATTAGAATAGCCTATCACGTCATTGTGTCGTCGATCTTCGTTCCGTTTACCGAGTAAGGTGAACTCGTAATAGTTTCAAGCATTTCAGGTTGTTAGGACTGTGGTAAACTAAACAATTAAATATACAGCTTCTGAATGAAAGATAAAGTTTGGTGAAGTATAGAAATATCCTTTTTGCATAAGTTCTTATCCAGTTCTCCCTTAATCCAGTTAGTCTGACATTGTGAATAATTTTCAATGAGGATTCTAATGCAGATATATGATCAGAAATGACTGTATCTTCAACAATCGAGATATTTTATTTGGGTTCACCTATTTATAAACAGGATGGATTGTACTCGAATATGTGATTTGAAAGAGGGCACTTTGGGCTATCAATATAACAAGCTTCACAAGAGCAAGTACGCTAGTAGATTCACATTGAAGTGACTGATAGCAAAGTATATCCATCACATATCCTTATATCAGTCAACTTTTGGAAAATAAACTTAGTAGCTGAGCTAAATAAAAGATCTGTAAAGATTTAAACAATTGATTCCGTAAGATCTTTTCTGCCATGTCTCTTAATGAACCCAACGCTCATGAACAAATCTTTCATGCAGTAGAATTTCTTTCAATTGAGCGTTTTGACTGAAGCTGATTTTTTAGCAACCTCTCTAATAGAGAAGTTTATTTTCTTTAGTTGTACTCTTATGAAAAAAGACAGAATCAAGATGTTAATAAATTCCAAAGCCACTTCATATTAATTATCTCCTTATTTAGCGCCCTATTATTAATTGACCTTCTAAAATATTATTATCGTGCTGTTAATTTATCATTTGAACCTTTATATATGGATAAGTGACTTGATCAATCTATGACTGCGATGTTAGAATGATTTTCTTTTATATATTAAGTTGCTGAAGGCAATCTGCATTAACTGAATTTATGTTTCGTTTTGATTGGCCCTCTCGACCGTAGCTGCTACCTTGACGCGGTGGTCGAGCTTGCCTATCGTGATGACCCAACCGAGCTATATTTGCTGGAACATATGTACCTGTAGGTTCCATCATATCAGGCAGGTCGATTGGAGAAACGATGAGACTAAAAGCAGAAACTAAATGTCTGAGGGTGAAGTAGTGTTGCTGACTGCAGAGGGGTGTGACAGCGATAAGGTGTCTCCCTCGGACGAACAGCATTCGCAGCAATGCTGCCTTCTCACAAGCAAGAAAGGGGTTAGAAAAGGTCGACCCTAATAATGACACACCTTACAGGATCCTAGTAGAATCATTAATTCTATTCCACCTTGTCAAAATAAGGAACTAGCTCGATTCACTCTTCGTGTATCCGGTAGCCCTGCTGCTGATTCCCATTGTCTTGCTGGAGTAGGACTAGCACTGAGTCATAGGGCAGAACTAGCTCTCTTAGACTGAATGCAAGTAGATAGTCGCCTGCGCGCTGTCCGACTAAACGGGACAGTAAGGACTCGGAAAGATCGGGACACTCGCCGTTGCCTCTTCATTGTATCTGACTACGTTATCACTGACTGCAGTTCAGACTATGTGAAAGATGAGTTTTATAGAAAGCTTTCGGAACTCCTCCAAAAGGTTAGACACTCTGATATAATAATCATGGCTGGTGACTTTAACGCTCAGTGGCGATAAGCAACAGCAGACAGTTATTCCGACTTATCAAGGAAATCGGTATAAGAAATCCAACTTTTAGCGAAACTATCTCAGATAAGGATGGGCTTATTATTCATTCTCATTACAGGAAACTGGATCGATGGGCAGAACACTTCAGGGATCAGTTCAACTGGCCTGCAGCCGCACCTCGGTTGCCCACAATCTTCAGTCAACCTGAATAGCAAATCGATATAAGTCCTTTGAGAAAGTTATAAGAAATCTAAAGCAAGGGAGAGCAGACCTGATAGATTGACTTCTAAGATTTTTAAGGACACTAGTTCGGCTTCAACAATTAGATTGACTGAGATCTTAGGTAGAATCTGGGAACTGGACGTAATCCTATCTGACTGGTCTCAATCCTTGATTGTCCTAATTTAAAAGAAAAGACGAAAGTCTTCTTGTGGCAGTCAAAGGACAATAAGCCTAATTAGTATAGAATTGTCATTATTGGCTTCAATAATAATCCGATGCCTAACTAGAGCTCGTGAAGAGCAGACTAGAGAAAATCAGGCTGGTTTTCAACCTGCATGTCGATGTATAGACCAGATATTCACACTGCGTCAGGTCCTAGGACGAAGACACACATTCAGAGGCCCCACAATAGTAGTATTTCTCTACTTTAAGGCGGCACTCAATTTTGTCGATCTTGGGTCTCTGTGATAGTGTCTGTCAATAAGAGGTGTACCAGAGAAGTACACGCTCTTTTACAGGCTCTCTACTCGAACACCACCGGTCAAGTGAGAGCCTATAGCAAATTGTCATCTGAATTCTCTGTTTCAAAAGGTGTTCGTCCGGGATGTCCACTTTCCCCATTCTTGTTTAACTCTGTCATAGACCTGCTTCTAGATATAACATTATCTTTGTCTGAATTTGCAGGAGTCAACCGTTTACCAGGAGAGTCGCTTGCTGACTTACAATATGCTGATGGTATAATTCTATTTGGTGAAGAAACTGAAAAAATGCAGAGTTTTCTGACCACGTTAAGCAACAATGCAAGCATGTTTGGGATGCGGTTCTCACCCTCGAAATGCAAAATGTTGCTTCAGTATTGACTTGTATCGGCACCGGAACTAGTGATAGGGAGCGAAGTAGTCGAACGTGTTGGTCGCCTCACTTATCTCGGGAGCCTCATCAGTGCTGATGGCCTAATGACTGACGAAATCTCAGCACGGATACAGAAAGCTCGGTTGGCTTTTGCCAACCTGCGTCACCTATGGCGCAGGCGAGATTTCCGTTTTCTAAGCAAAGGTCGAGTGTACTGTGCAGCAGTTCTCTCCGTCTTACTAAATGGATTAGAAACATGGCCGGTAAGAGTAGAGGACATTCGCAGGTTCTTTGTATTCGATTATAGATGTCTTAGAAGCATTGCTCTTATATCCTAGTACAGCCGAGTAAGCAATGCTGTTGTTAGGAAACGAGTACTAGGTGAGGAGTAGATTGGAAGAAAGCTAGGTGGGGCCTAATGGTAAACCGGAGATGTTGAGTCTAATTTTAGCTGTGTAAACTTTTATTTGTGAATGTTTTCTAGTTTAGGTTCATTAAAATGATTTAAATATTTTAACGTTTTTAAGTCTCTTGAGTTACTGCCCAATGCTTAAGTTATTTCTGGCATTTTATAACGATATATAACTAATGAATAAATTTATTCATAGATTGTCACAGGTTATCATTTCAGTCAGGTCGAATAAATAATAAGAAATAATTAGCTACATTATTTCACCGATTAAACAGTAAAATCTGAATAGCATTAGTGAAAAAGTACAAAATCTTTAGTTTAAGATTACCAAAATCTGACTAATGACCAGGTTCTGTCTTTGATTACATTCCTTCTAACTGTCTCAGCATTTCATAAATTTTCATTATGCTTTTAATAGTAACTGTTACTGGCATACAGAACAAATGTTTCTCTCCGAAATGAACCAACTGAATGTTTTAATCTTGGTATGGGTGCACATCCACAACTCCTGCACCTCACAGGGTTCGAACCCAGGACTTTCGGTCTTGCGCGCGAACACACTGCTGATGAGTCCCATACCAGGACGAAACGGCCGTTCAGTGCTCCCATGTTTCTAATGGTTGTCTAACATTGATCGACTCATGATTTCAATGAGTAATTTAACACTATTCACAACCCCTTAATGAGTGTTTTTTAGTCACAGCAATGTCGTTGTTAATTCAAAGTAACATAACGTTCACGTCAAACTGCATGCTTTTAAATTATAATCAAAATGATAAACACGTGGATTGATAGTTAACATACTTTGGTCAAATGAAGCTTTTCCCGAAGTTTGTTTAATTTATTGATACTGACGAATAAGTAAGACGAAAGCACTGTTGTAAGAAGAACATCCATAGAACACGCAGTTACTTTTTAAGGAACTGTTCATATGCTTTTCGTCATACGCTGATGTTAGTCGAACTGTCACTGCAAATCAGAAAACGCTGATATAAGCTTTCCGCCCTAAATTTCAGACTGCACGACCTTCAAGTTTCAGGGATGGGTAAGATATAATTCTACTAATAAGTTGGAGTTAAATGGTCAAAGTTTTTGAAATTCAATCGACGTTACATAAGTTTTTATTGATCAGAAAGATTGGATAGCAAATTTGTATTTAAGTCCTCATAACAATTTATTTACAGATAGACTAACGAACTTCAAAGACAACTTAATCTGAACAATATTTTAATAGTAAATTATGGATGAAGTAAGCATTGCCACATTTTCAAGTCTTTTCGATGAAATGTTAAGGTTATGGTCCATATGAAAGTCATGACTACTTTATTCACGTGACTATTTAATCACATTTGTCTTCGTCATCTAATACCCGTAATCAATCGCTTGAAAGAATATTTTAACCAATTAACTTTCAGCATCGAAATATGAAAACAGACAGATTATTGGTGTATTGAAACATGACCTTCAAACAATAAATAAGAGTCAGTTAACACTTAGTCAAGCGTACATAATCCGTATACAACCCATCGGTGTGATTACGGTTGTTACCTCAGTTACAATGACAATTCGCTGCCATAGTGTTGCATTTCAGAAAAAAGTACCACACAATTTCTTAACGATGAATGTGGTCTCGGAAAATGCTGCTCAAAAACGAACACGCAATCAGTCATCAAACAGTAATAGTAGTGAAGAGATTTTAGAATGCGAAAATGAAGGAAAACGTTTAAAATTGGGATCAGTTCACCATTTGACATTGGGTAATCAGCTGACATCAACTCCATTGGATATCCTATCACCGATTGCAACAAATTATTTATCTGGAAACAATCAAGCTGCCAATGAACCCATTGGTTCTTGTATAAACTTCATTAACTGTGATGAACTAGCTTCATTGCTAACCTCAGATTACTCATGTAAACAGTGTGTACCGCTCATACTTGATATTAGAAGTCTTGCTTCTCAAGCGAATTTACGAATTCAAACAGCTATTGGTATACCATGTGAATCTCGTGTAAAGTTACGTCGTGTATTGCCGATGCTGAATAGCTATTTACGCGCAAGAGAACAATGTTTTAATACACATCATTTACAAGACTACCAACCAAACTATCGTTTAATAATCATCTATACTGATTCTGGTATCAGTGAATTCCCTGTGTTAAAAGATCTTCTTCATTGCTTGGTTAAACACTTGAATGACATTCATCATTTAGATGCAAGAGTTCTTAAAGGTAAGTGAAATAAATTTTATATATGCATTGCTTTCTATTAATACTTGTGATGTAATCGAGATTCTAGGAATCTGTTTCAATCAAAAAACTCCTGTTTACATGTTTATTGCTATTAATGTGTCACATGGAAAACACATTATTGACTTCATTCTTCAGGAAATGAAAGTATAATCAGTATTCTACGTATGGTCTCTGAGATGAAAATTCCAAAGATTATGACCTCACGTAGATATTCAGGTGTTTAGTGACAATGTTTATTAAAGACTAAGTATCTTACTGAGAAAGTGAATTTGGAACTTAGTTAACTAACTAATTTGTTCTCTCCAGCCTTCAAATTATTTTTGTGGTTGAAAGGATTTTTTAAAGGTTGGGTCACTTTGTAGGTTACATTTGTCACGATTGATCTAAGTTGAAGTACCTTTAAAAATTGGTGGAGTGTAGACGAGTCGAAAGTGAACTAGTTGTCACCAATAGTATTGTATGATCATCGTGCTATATCAAAAATTGCTTGAGGTTGAAATGGTACTATTGAACGCTGTTTCAAAAGTTGTTCTTGTTAGACGTTCAACACGAGACCTGAAGATTCGGAGTCCAATCCCTGATGAGGTCTTGGGTAAACATTTCTAGATAATCCAATACTCATGCCTTCCAGTGGCTCTTCAAACGAAACCTATCTTTGACGAATACAGGTTTTAAATTATGTTTATTTAATTATTTGCTAACTGCAATTCTGTTTATCAAAATAACCATATTCTTGCGAGATAGTTTTTTTTCTGAAATACTGTTTAGTTCTGAGGGATTGTGAGGACATATTTCCACAATATGATATATTTAACCCATAATAAAACATATTTTCAGCAGATTCTGTTTGTGCGTAACATTCAAGGTTAAGCTTAGCATAAGCCTACTAATTTTAGCAACATTTATTTATTTGGTTTTGACAGTACCAGATTATCGATATTATCACGTGATTAGTACAGTGTTCACTTTACACCCCAAGATATAAAATAGATTCCTTTAGATGAGGATGAGAGAAAATTGACACATTTTGCTGGACTGTACATATTAAAGTAGATTCTAACTTCAAACTA